TCTCAGTCTGTGAATCCTCTTCCATGAACACCCACGAGCTAGTCACTGTACATCAAGAGACCTGTGCTAAGGTGCTTGACCTAGTTGCGCGAAACTGTTCAGTGATTTGTAGACATACAGTAGTACTTTGAACTGGATTCGAAAGTGAACCGGTAACCAGTGCAGGGAGGCCAAAACTGGTGTAATGTGCTCTCTTTTGCCTGTACTGCTTAAAAATCAGGCTGCTGCATTCTGGACAAGTTGTAGTCGTGCTATGGAGGTCTGACTGATACCAAACAGGAGCGAATTGCAGTATTCAAGCCTAGATGTAGGGCAGCACGGTGGCGCAACTGGTAGAGCTGCTGCCTCTCAGCGAGCAGGTCCTTGGTTCAAACCCCGGTCCAGGGGCCTTTCTGGGTGGAGTTTGCATGTTCTCTCCGTGCATGCGTGGGTTTTCTCCGGGTACTCCGGTTTCCTCCCACAGACCAAAAACATGCATGTTAGGCTGATTGGTAACTCTAAATTGTCCCTAGGTGTGAGTGAGAGAGTGAATGGTTGTTTGTCTCGTTTGTCTCTGTGTGTCCCTGTGATGGACTTGCGACCCGTCCAGGGTGTACCCCGCCCCTCGCACAGTGATTGCTGGACATGGGCACCAGTGACCCCCGTGACCCAAAAATGGAATAAACGGGTAAAGATAATGGATGGATGGAAGCCTAGATGTAATGAATGCATGTATTACTGTCTCCAGGTTATTTTTGGACAATATGGGCTTCAGTTTAGACAGCCGCCTCAGTTGGAAGAAACATGATTTAACAATCATGTTTACATGATTGTTAAGTTTCAGGGAAGGGTCCATTATCACTCCCAGATTAGTGACTCTTTGTTTTTCTGACTGGGTTAGAGTGGAGGGGTCGATGCAGTGGTTTGTGATCGTGTCATTGGGAGGAAACAACATGACTTCAGACTTCTTTTCATTGAAGCTTAAGAAGTTTAAAGCCACCCAGTCCTGATGTCAGCCAGGCAGTTGAGCAGAGGTTGAATAGAGCATGTACCATTGTGTTTTAGGGGGAAGTAAATTTGACAGTCATCGGCATAGAAGTGGAAGGGCATGTTGTGTTTCCTGAAAATAGCACCACGCGGCAGCAGATATAAAGAAAATAGGAGGGGACCCAGGATGGACCCCTGCGGAACCCCCCATTTAAGCTCTGCCTCTGCAGAACTAAAATCCTTGATGGAGACACAAAAGGATCTGTCAGCGAGGTAAGATCTGAACCAATTGAGGGCTGATCCTGTGACGCCCACCCACTGCTCTAACCTAGCAATGAGGATCTCATGGTCGATGGTGTCAAAGGCGGCTGTGAGGTCCAACAGGACAAGCAGCACAGAATCACCAGTATCTGTGAATCTGAAGATGTTGTTAAAGACCTTCAGCATGGCAGTTTCAGTGCTGTGGAGAGGTTTAAAGCCCGATTGGAAAAGCTCTAAGGAAGCATTCACACTAGCCCTGTTTAGTCCGCTTTAATCCAACTCCAGCTCGTTTTCCTAGAAAGTCCGGTTCGTTTAGGGAGGTGTGAACGCTCCATTGAACTCTGTCATGGAACAAAAAGGCGAACTCTGGCCCAGCTAAAACCTAGGTTTCGGTCCGGTAGAAGCGAACTCCAGCACGGTTTGAGTACAGTGTGAGTGTAAACAGACCGGCCCCGCTCCACAGGACAAACAAACACGCATTTCTCTGACCTTATTTGGAGCCGTCAGCTGCCTTGTGTGGAAAAACAACATTCTCCATGGTCTTCTGTCTCATCTTCTGCTCATGCTAAGTCCATTTTTGAAAAATGACAAAATATAACTCCTAAAACTGCTAAAACTTGATGCCACTTCGTTTTTATTTTTATTTACAGAAGAAGAAGAAGAAGACGTGTCTTCAGAGGTTTTTGTGTTGTTTCTTTCAGTAGTTCTTGGTGCAGCGCCCCCACAGGCGAGTGGGGGAATAGGTTGGTTCAACAGGTTGACTCGACTGCACAGTGCAGTGTGAATGCAAATGCACCAGCTCAAATGTAAACAAAAGGTCATGAATATTGGTACTGAACCGAGTCTACCGGACTATCTGGTGTGAAAACGACCTAAGATGGCGTGATCCTCCAGGAAGCACTTTCAACTGAGACTCGACTATTTTCTCCAGTACATTAGAAAAAAATGGTAGTTTGGAGACTGGCCGGTAGTTGGAAACGACTGAGGGGTCAAGGTTTGTTTTTTTCAGAGAGGCTGGACAGCAGCATGTTTAAAGGATTTTGGCACCACTCCAGTGGATAAACTACTGTTTACTATATCAAGAATGGGCGGACCTAGAATAGGAAAAACCTCCTTTAGTCGTCGAGGGGGGACCACATCAAAGGGGGAGCCAGAAGGTTTCAAGCTGCACGTGACCTGCTCTAGAGAAGATAGAGTGATGGGTTCAAAATGGTCAAATAGAGCTACAGATTGAGGTGGGATGGATGGGTCATGAGTTGGAGGGGAAATGAGAGCCCTGGTGGTCGTAATTTTTTCCAAAAAGAAATGTAAGAAGTTGTTGCACAGCTCAGTCGAGGCTTCCAGAGGTGATGGTTCAGTGAGGTGGAGAACAGAGTTTAGGGTGGAGAAGTGGACATGTGGGTTGTGAGAGTTTGAGGTAATTATATCAGAGAAGTATTTGGATTTAGCAGCTTTCACTGTTTTCTGATAACAGCGCCAACTCTCTTGAGTATTTGAAAAGAGACCTGCAGCCTGTCTTTCCTCCACTTTCGTTCCGCCCTCCTACATTGCTGCCTAACGGCCTTGGTGACGTCACTCAGCCAATGTTCTGCTCTCAGTTTTGATTTTCTAGTTTTAACAGGCGCAACATGATCCAGAGTCTTTAAGCAGACAGATTTGAACTGGGATGTCAGCTCCTCAGTGGTGGTGAGAAACACTGGTGCCTGAATGATCATTTCAGAGTTATAAACATCTGTGAAACGTGCGGCAGTGAAGTGGTTAATGGTCCGGCTGCAATGTGCAGGAATGCACGACTTAAGCCCCCAGTATACTGCCACGTACATCCATACGCAGAGGTACGCACGTACGTACGCAGAGGTACGAGTGTACCCCCCAGGGCATGTCCGTACAAAGCTCAAATTTTTACGACCGCATACGCGTACGTGGTGTCGCACAATAAACTGCCCAGCGACGGACTGTTTTAAATGCGACACCAATGTATTAAATTCCCCTTCTTCATCTCTGATCTGGCCTTTTTTTTTGTTTTTTTGCCAAGAGGCAGAGATCTCTTCCTCCTCCGTTGATGCCATGACTGAAATGGTGAGAAATGAAGGAATTTGTCACGAGCGAATTAAACTCAGGTCCAGCGTGGCTGCAGGAGGGTCTGGAGATTTCCTGGTGGGCTGGTCTGATGTGTGGGCTGTACAGCCAGCGCTCTGTTTTTTTTATTTTTTAGATCTTTTTATTAACAACATATAAACAGAGGAGATCCAGAAGTCCAGAGGAGATCGGACGTTTTCAGTCATGGGCCCTAAACTCTGGAACAATCTGCCCATCAACATTCGACAGGCCACCTCAGTCTCTATTTTTAAATCTCTCCTCAAAACACATCTGTACTCATTGGCATTTAACACAGGGTGATCTCATTTGGTATGGTATATGGTATAAAGTTTATTCATTTTAAAAAAGTACAAAACAATTCCATAACAATATAAAAAGATACAAAAGATTTAAAATGAAAGGCAGCAGAAAGAAGAAAAAATCTTATTATATCTGCCCCTTTTTACAAACAATTATTTCAATCATAATAATTTTCAAGTAACAGAACAAAATGAATAACTCTTTCTAATTTTTCTAATTCTAATACAAAACACACACCAAGCTACTTCATATATTTTTTTTAACAATTCAGTTTTGATCTTTTTTTTAAATGTTCACATTGACTTGGCATTTTTCACATCACTCTCTAGAACATTCCACAATCCAACTCCTTGGATTGAGGTAGACCTTCCCTTCAGACTAGTTCTGAATGTTGGTTTGACAAATATCTCTATCCCCTTAAGATTATAACAACTTTGTCTTTTAACAACATTTCTTTGGATATTTAATGGTAATGTGTTATTTTGAGCCCTATACATAACTGACAAAATACTATAATCTACCAAATCATGGAACTTCAATAACTTCAGTTGATTAAATAATGTGCTTTTGGTATTTGGTAACCAGTTTGGTATTTCGTTGTTGATGATGGTGTTCATCCATTTTGCTTTTACTCCCTGACATTTAACACAGGGTGATTTGATTTAGTATTTCTTTGTTTCTAATTATATTTCATGTTTTTATGCTTTTATTCCTGATGCTGTAATATTTTGTTATTAATATTTGATGCTGTGATCTTTTTTGTTAAGCACTTTGATAACAGTTATAGTTTTAAATGTGCTATATAAATAAATGTGACTCGCATCCAATTTGCGATCCAGTCCGCTAAGCACTAGCGTCTGGGTGCACGAGACACGGAGCAAACCTTCACATAGGCGGCAGCCTGACCAGGCCAGATTAACTGCAGCCGTCTTCTTTGTATGTTGATAAACCAGGAACTAGACAATTTCTAAAACAGGAAACCTGTTATCATAAATCCAATTATATGCAGTTTCAGCGGCCTCGATCGACAGCAGAATGTGTCATCAATTTTCATATATTTCAGATTCATTGCACACCAACTGAAATATTTCAGGTCTTTCAGGAGGCAATCAGCCTGTGGCACTGCTGAGGTGTTCTGGAGGCCCAGGATGCTTCGATAGCGGCCTTAAGCTCATCCAGAGTGTTGGGTGTTGTGTCTCTCAACTTTCTCTTCACAATATCCCACAGGTTCTCTATG